AGCAAGGGATTTCCGAGAATACGGTTGTGAGTCCTGAAAATATACAGGTGTGAGTTCGGTAATAGAATGATATTGTCACTCTTGTAAATAACTTAACTGTGTGTGAACATTATTAAGGAAGGTTAAGCACCTCATTTCACTGACCATTTGTCTAAAAACTATACTTCAGGACTTTTAGACTTTTCCTTCTGTACCCAGTTTGTGATAAAAGAGGCTGTGGTGAAAGAGCAACACCGCTGTGTGTTAGTGTAAATCATGGCTTCTGACTAAAATGCCTCCTAACCCCAGAGTGAATTTTAGCAATAATTTCATATCCTCTCCCTGCACTTAAACTTGCTGACATACTGTACAAGAAATAGAGTTAGGGGGCAAGACGCATTCAGTTATAATATGAGGCAGAATTTAAGGGCACTTTGAAAAACCCAATCCTCTCAGTCAAGACCCAGAGGCCGAGAAGCCACTAATTAGAATTCAGGAAGTTAAAGCTGCCGCCCCCTCTGGGGCTTTGGTCCCGTGTAGGTCATTGGATGTCAGAGCGACAGGGCAACGTCTGGGCATTTCGACACAGACAAATTTGTTTCTTAGCTGTTTGAATGCCCCTGTGGCTGTCCGTGTCAGTTTTGCTCTCAGGGTGAACGTAGCTCTGGCAATTTCGTGATCCCACAACCCTGAGGGGTGTTTGATGTCTCAGACGACTGCCTAAGACAAAATAACTGAATTTGCTTTCTCTGAATGCGTGCTGTGTATGTAGCGATTCGGCGGGAAAACAGTGGGGTTGTCTTTGTCGGTACGTGAAAGGGAAATCAACACTTACTCTAAGATTGTTTTCATGTTCTTCCCCTTCCTCGGAAAAGTTTTCCCACTCCAGGCAGTCTGTGTTGCTGCTGTTTGGAGATAAAATTGTTATTCTAACAAGTGCACACTGCAGTGGCTAAGGAGGAGGGAAAGAAAAATCAAGCACTTGTTTGAAAGAGCTTCAAATGGCAAATTGTGGAGATTCTCAGAATAATAACACAGCTGGATATCAACCATCCGAAACCAGTGCCCACTGTGAGTGTTATACATTAAAGTGATCAATTATTGAACAAAAAGATATTGATATTATATCTCTCTTACTTAAAACGTTGCAGCAATTTAAGACAAAGGCAATCTGAGGCAACAAAGTTGAGAAATGTTTGACTTTGGTAAAGAGTGAAATTTGGCTAGTGTCGCCAAATGAAATTGCAAAAACAACTTTTTTAAACAGGTTTTCTGCCATTGGTCAACTGCCCCAAACTCACACCCTTTGGTCAAGTCACTGTTTGTTCAAGCAGACTAGTCCAGCATAGCAACAGTGCAATTTTTTTATCGTTATACATTAAAGCCCTATGTGTGTTTTATACGATATAATGATCAATTATTGGACAAAAAGTACTGCTATATATTGATATATCTCACTTATAATTGAGATGCTCACACTGACAGCAGTTTTCAGCGACAAGACAAAGTCATTTCGAATGAGAATTATAGCATCACCAAATGAAATTTCAAAAACAAAGATTGTTTTCAAACAGGTTTTCTAAACCATTGGTCAGCCAAACACATAGCCCCGCCCTAAAATATCACCATTGGTTGAGTCACTGTTGCTATGCTGGGCTAGACAAATAGCAATATTTTGATAGCTCCACACTGTTTACGCTTTTCTGGGAAATGAATGGGTTACTGTATAGTGTCTCTGCAGATTAATCTGTGGATAAAAGTATTTCAAAAGAACACATTCTTCAGCTTTAACTATCAAAACCTGCACATTTCATTGCTCTTTCTTAAGTGAGTTAGCAACAGCTCCTCGAGGCTACAACGTAAAAGGTCAATAGTTGCATATGATGTGACAACCACATGCGTTGGTTCTTTTTCTCTTCAAAAGAAGAACCAGGTGAGGTGGAAATTTTTAGCTCCAGCTGTCTCGCATCAAAAAAATGCCATTTTGAGGACAGTTCCCCATCAGTCAACAAGTTTGACCTTCGGTTACAAAGCATTTGGCTAAAATGTTTCTTTCTTTCTTTTTCTTTTTTTCTCTTCTCTGTGCATAAAATGTTCCCGTAATGGTCTGAGTATATCTGATCTCATTCGCTTTCTCTTTGTCTTTCTCTCATCCCCCGAGAGGTTTATCATTAGACGATGAAGACTCTCTAAAGTAAGTGCTACAGTAGTTTTGTCCACCTGCTTTCACAAGCTGTAATTAGCATTAGCCTCTAGTCCTAATTAAATCGCAGATACGCTGTGTGATAACTCGACGTGAGAAAACGGAAAGGGTTTCAGGTCTCCACAAAAGCCTGAAGCTTGGTGGAATAAAGGAAGAAAGAGAAGGTCTTAATTGTTTCCTTGCTGTTGCTGGCACATGCTATTTTTGTCTTTTGAAAGGACAATAGCGATAAACTCCCAGCATACAATGCCGCCACTAAAAGACATGGCTTGAAGAAAGAACGAGGACGGAGACAAAAATGCAGGCACATTGCGAATACAACTTTGCAGAAGTGCAGATGCGTCATTCCCATTCAAACTGAGGGAACATGTCAGTTTGATTTTTGAGCTTAGTGGATTTTGAATGCAAACACTGTCTGAGCAACACTGTCTCAACAAATAGCGTGTGTTTGGGGGCGGGACAACATTTTTGTCTGACCTTTTTGCCCCCCTTTTGGTCACATTTTATCTAGTCTAGTCCACAAAGTATGCTAGTACCGTCACCAGTGCCCCACCGCTTGAAAAAGCCATTCTAAGCTTGAAAAAGCTTGTGTTTATTTGACATTTTTGCATTACAAACCTGCTGTGATAGTACATTTGGGAGATCTGTTGTATTATTACTTTATTTAAATCACTAAAAGCCAAATGGCCCTTCAGTCAGTGTTCTGTTTGTTTTTAATGAAATCAGCAGGGACTGATAGTTACTGATGTTAAAATGCTGCTTTGAGGGCCCCTGCTGTAATATGCCGGTGACCTTGTATCCGGTCAGACCTTCTCAGTTCGGAGCAGAACTGGTGGAGTGTTTCCTCTAGGCACTAGTGAGTAGACTAACTAATTAGATCTTTATCTGAAGAGGTCAGAGCTCAGTTAACAGAAGGATGGAAATAAGCCAATGTGACTGGGGATGAGAAAGAGGATAAATTGCTGGCATTGATTGCTATAAAGAGAAGGATTAAATATATAGGGTTGATCAGGGACTTGTCAAAAGTAAGAAGTTGTCACTAGGTCTGTATCTCAACAATTATAACATTTTCTTTAGTACCGGTAGTTCAGTTAGTAGCAAGTACAAATTTACCTAATCTAACTATATTACAAAAAGGATAATTATTTTATGAAACGGTTTTACTGAAAATCCTGTTTTTCTTGGAAAATTCCACTGAGACGATATGCTATTAGTTAAATGGGTATTCACTGGTCAACTATTTTGGTCAACAAATTGCTTTAGTTGCATGTTATTGTTTACTTCTGATAGCTGACTTTTTTTAAAACGCTTAGAAAGCACCACAAATTCATCATCAGTCTATGTTTATCCAGTACATGGTGGGATATTAAGTTGTTGAGATATTCCACTGGGTACAATATCTTTTGTTAGTTTAATGTGCAACAATCATCCGGCAAATTGAAGTTACATTATGCATACGTTGCTGGATAACTTTTACAATTACGGCTGTTCAAGTGGTGCTATGTAAACCTTTTTTCTCATCAGCGGGGTAATTAATACTCCCTTCAGAATTACTTCTATTCACATTCAATTTGCATAAAAGTCTTCTGCGTTATTTGCATACAATGTTCGTTTCCTTTGATGTAGCAAACATGTTTACATGCATACATTCATAGGCGTATGCACACAAACATTCCTATAGTGTTTCCTTGGCTGTAATTGACATTTGTGAGTATTAAATGATTTTGCTGTAAAAGATTTTTAACACTGCAGCTAATGTTGTTCCTACAGAGATGAAACGACCCACACACATTGTAGCCTTGAGGGACTGAGGGATTGACAGTTACGAGAGGATCGCTTGGTTATGACACACTCTGAGGGTCAGTGGTAAATCAGCTGACGTCAGTTGAGGAATTGAATTGTCAATTTCAATCTTGAGCACGGGCACTGGGGGAAACGGGTTCTCTGTTTCTTTGAGGGTTTTAGGAATGAGAAGTGACTATTATAAAATTGGATGCTTGAATTCTAGACTGGGCGCCTGTGCAGTCTAGCTCAAGTTTTATTATGTAAGGTTTCATGACAATATTTGTAGGATAATGTAAAGGAATATTACAATTTTGTTCTGTGTGATTTAATTCGAAGCATGAATTAAACATTGCAAATGGTGTCCCGGTACACAGACATTCTTAAAAATGGATGAAGTATTAGCAGGAGGTCTGGTGATTATTCAGTGATTATTAGTTAGATTTCTTTGAAGTTACAAAGTTAACCTGGATTTTTGTTGTTGTTGTTGGTCAGCAGGAACGGTGACATATTAATATTAATAATTAAATAATATACCCAAACTTTGTACTGCATAATTTCACTGACCAAGTTACTGACATTGACATAAATACAAACACGCACACACACAAACCACTGTAGCTGCTGCTAAGATGTTTTTATGCATTTTTATAACCAAGTAAACTAAAAAAAAAAATTCTGCTGAAGAGTGACATGGAATGGTGTTGCTTGGATAACGGTAATCCTAAATGAATCCTCAGAGGCACAGTAAAACCTCAGTGACTTACAAAGACTAATGGCTGTTCTACATGCTGGTCCCTAATTATGCTGTCATTCATGCTCTTCTTTTATAACAATTTTGAGCCTTTATTGTTTAGTTGCACCAATATGGTTTTACATAACCAAACACTGTTAACACTAGAACAGTATGTAAAAGTTTCATGGCTTTAGGCATTTTAATGCATGAATGGTTTTCTAAATCTCTTTTGTTTATAATTAAAACATAAAATACAATAATTTCTCAATTTTCTCTCCCCACCTTTTGTCTCTTACACAGATCCAAAGACTGACGGATTGAAAGCATTGTTCGGCAGTTCAAAAGGAGAGCAGGCAAGAAGTCAAAGACCATGAGTTACAGCTGTGGCAAGCGACACTATAACCCTATAACACGGACCACGTAAAATGGAGACTATGTTTGGCATTATGGTTCCTGAACAGCTGTGACTGCCCTCAAGACACGTTTTTCCCAGAACCTGTGTCTTTGTAATCCTATTGGCCGTCCATCTCCCGTGATCATTTTTCTTATTTTGAGCCCTAACCTCGTTCGTTTCCCTCCTTGATCAAAACAAATCCAGTTTTTGGTCCAAAAATGGCCTGCAGGTTCAGCTTACCTTGTGCATTTCCACCCTCCTTTCTCATCCTCTCTCTCCCTATTTTCCTCTTCCTCCATGCACCTTCATTCGTGAGGAGTGACTGCTGGCTAATTGAGGGGGATAAAGGCTACGTGTGGCTGGCAATCTGCAGTCAGAACCAGCCTCCATATGAGACAATCCCACAGCACATTAACAACACCGTCCATGACTTACGGCTGAATGAAAACAAGCTCAAGGCAATTTTCTTCAGCTCCCTCAGCCGATTTACCAACCTTACCGACCTCAACCTCACTAAGAATGAAATCTCCTACATTGAGGACGGTGCCTTCGCAGGACAGGCCAATCTACAGGTCTTGCAGTTGGGATATAACAAGTTAACCAATCTCACCGAGGGCATGCTGCGAGGGTTGGGTCGAATGCAGTGCCTATATCTGCAGCATAACCTTATAGAGGTAATTGCAATCAATGCCTTCTGGGAGTGCCCAAGCCTTAGCAGTCTCGATCTTTCCTCTAACAAATTAGCAAAGCTGGATTCATCCACCTTCACCGTTTTGGGTGGGCGGCTGATAGTGTGCGAACTGGCTGGAAATCCTTTTCATTGTGGCTGTGACTTGTACAGCTTCCTTATTTGGTTGGAGGCATTTGACAATGTCACTCACACCTATGACAGGCTCCTGTGTGAGACACCAAAGGAACTTTTTGGCTACCCTCTCCTGAGTCCTAGAGGTAATCATGGAAGAAATGCTCGTTCCATCCTGGCATCCATGTGTAAAGATGGAGTGATTGTTACTGGCATAACTGCCCTGCCTCCTGACTTGGACTCTTCTGGGATGGGGGTGGACATTTATGATCAGATGGGACCTTATCACCAGCCCACAGCTTCATCAACAACAGACCCCACTTATAGTCCCACTATTAAGTTGCAAACGGTCTCCCTCTCCACCGCATCCCTCTTGGTTCAAATACCCAAGCCCTACAGTAAGATGTACATCTTAGTGCAGTACAACCACACCTACGTGTCAGATGTTACAAACTTAAAGAACAAGAAAGAGATTGTCACACTAAACAACCTAAAGCCCCACACAAATTACACATTTTGTGTTGCCTCCATTCGCAATTCACAGCGATACAATCACACTTGTCTGTATTTTGCAACTCGGGCTCCAGGGCCTGATGACTTGAAAGCAACCCCTTCTACCACCACCCATTACATTATGACCATTCTAGGCTGCCTGTTTGGGATGGTCATTGTGTTGGGCTTGGTGTATTACTGCTTACGCAGGCGTCGAATGCAGGAGGAGAAAGAAAAGGCAATTAGTGTTAAGAAAACTATTTTAGAGATGCGCTATGGGCCAGAAGTAGCTGCTGCAGCAGCTAAGGATCCTTCAGCCTTGCAGAAACTCCATGACCAGTCCCATCATCAACACCACCACAGCAAGCTGACCCAGTCAGCATCCTCCAGCTTGGGCATCCTTCACGGCTCAGCCAACACCACCTCTTCTCGACTTTCTTCCCTGCCTCAAGTGGAGAAGATGGCTACAGCTTTCTCAGAAGCCATGGCCGCCAATAAGGGCAACTACATGGATGTACGAACGTCAGCAGGAGGAGAGGATCGAATGAGAGATGGAGTAGTAACAGGGTCAAGGGAAGAAATCACAAGAAATGAAAATGGGATTAATGGAGGAGATGACTCTGATGATGATGGCCGAGATTCAACATCCGAGATCTCCACCATTGCCAAGGAGGTGGACAAGGTAAACCAGATTATCAATAACTGCATTGATGCACTCAAACTAGACTCTGTAGCTGTTGTGGCAGCAGCTGCGGCCACTGCAACTACAGCAGATAACACTGCCTCTCCACCACCTCCTAGTGTCTCTTCCTTAGCCAGGGGGCTAATTCCACTTTCCCCTACCATCACAGAGGCATGCCAGATCATGTCGTCCCCTAAAATCCGTCCTCCACCTCCTGTTCCTCTTGTTTTGCCCCTTTCTGAGCGGCCCGGCATCAGCGGAGGGGGCTTTCTCTCCCCTCCCTACAGGGACCCACCCCCAGCTACAGCATCACGGCCCTTGCAGAGGCAACTCAGTGCGGATGCTGCAGTTGTTCCTATCAACTCTGTTAAAAACCGCTGCAATGTTTCTTCCGGTGGCTCTGTCAAAAGTGCTCGGGTCTTCAGTCTGGACGTCCCTGACCCTCGAAGCCCAGAGTCATGCAAGTACCCTGGGAAAGGCAGCCCTATTCGGTGCGGGGAGCCAGTAGAGAGGTTGCCCTTAATAGGTGTTCAGGGAGTCAGTAATGGCAGAGGAGATGGTGGCAGCGGGGGTGGAGGGGGAGCCGGTGGTGGCAGTGGTGGTTCGGGTGGGTGTGGTGTTGTGGTCGGAGGTGGGGGCAGCACAACTCAGCAGCACCACTTGGAGGTGCACCCAGACTACCACTGCTCAGAGCACCGACACTCCTTCCCCGCCCTCTACTATGAGGGTGCCACTGACTCCCCTGCCCAGAAAGCCTCCTTTCTAAAGCCTCTCACTCGCACCAAGAAGGACACTGCCTACTCCCAGCTTTCTCCCCGCCACCACAATTACTCAGGGTATTCCTCCAGCCCTGAGTACTCCTCTGAGAGCACTCTTAAAATCTGGGAGCGCTTCCGGCCCTACAAGAAAAGCCCCCGTGAGGAGGCCTACATAGCCGCTGGCCATGCTCTCCGAAAGAAAGTGCAGTTTGCAAAGGATGAGGATCTCCATGACATTCTGGACTACTGGAAGGGAGTGTCAGCACAGCAGAAACTGTGATGCTTGTGAGAGACATGACAGCAGGAAAAAAGGTTGTGGAGAAAAGAACCAGTGGCTCTTGAGACAGCTCAGCAGACTCCATCAGCAGGTGCTTTGGTCCCTGCAGACCACCACAGAGACAAGTGTTCTGAAAGAGACAGAATTAAGCAGGTGTTCCAAACTCATTAAGGCATAGATAAGCAACCAACCAGAAATGCACAGGAAATGTGGCACTTAAAAAGGCAACCAGATTCAATTTAGAATCCCTCCATTTTACCTTGTTATCCACCTGTGCTCTTTGCACTGTAGTTTGACAAGATCATAGTCTTAAATGAGGAATTAGTGGTTTTTATTTTTAAAATGCCTGAATATACTCCCGAGAGAGGGTGAGAGCTGATGCTTGTCGAGATCATTGTTTACAATGTTAATTAGTAAGAAGGAAAAAAGTTGTGAATTTAGCTTGGCTGAAGCCACAGGTCAAAAAATGTTCCCTCCCATCCCCCAATCTCTGCTTAAACTAAACATTTTCATAGATTTGAGACACCTACACACATGTTGCGCAGCATGTGTGGGACACAGTTATCAAACCAGAGGCAGCCATCTGGATATGGTTTATATTCAAGCAATTCGATAAAACGCACAAAGTTAATTTATTTTTGGCATTCATTTGTGGCAGCCTCCTCTTCTTTTGTAGTCTTTGGTCTGTTTTTTTTTTTTTCTTTCTTGTTCAAAGAAGGGAAATAGTAATATGGGATTTAAGAATATCTTACGTTTCAGATTTTAAGTATCAGAGACTAGATCTGAAAATGAATTATGAATTTACAAGTGGCAGATAAGGTTGATAGTTGTGTATTAGGTGTGTTACTTTCCACACCCAGGTGTGATAGTTTGCTTTGTTTAGCCTGTTGGAAGGCAACATTCCAAAGCTAAACTGAATGCTACACTTTCATAAAATGCTAAATCTAATCTGGAAGCTACAATTTCCTGAAATTTTAAACAGACGATTTCATAATAGCTGTCTTGCTGGTGTTTAAAAAAAAAAAAAAAAAACTTTACAGTGGCCTAAGTTTATCAAAGGCACAGAACACATTGAACCAGCTTCAGCGGCTATGTGTAGAATACTTTTATTTTTTCTCCATTGCATTTCAATGATGACTCGGTCCGTTCTACTTACAGTACATTAATTGAATACTGGAGTAGCTCTTCCTTTGTCTCTCCCCATTGATATGACCTTTTGTTTCTTGTTATAGCCTACTTCTGTTGACCTGATCTGGGTTGTGGTCAAACTAGGGAAGGTATGAAACAAATTCAATTATTTCTCACATCTCATTTTTTAAGACCTTGTTATTGTCCTTGCATGGCTTAATAGGGAAAATTAATTAGTAATTTGCAGCAGAAGAGTCAAGGGGTCACAGAGGTGCTAATATTATTAACACTGCCAGATTGGAAAAGTGATTGAAATTAATCTCACCCTTTCTGGTCAGGTCATCACCCAGAATGCATCCCGGGAGTTTTGCTGGTTCACCCATGGCAATGAAAGGCAAGCTGATGCCTTTCTTCTTTAGATCAATTTACTGGCTTAAAATAAACACCTCAAGCTCTTCAAAATAGGCTTCTGGGCTTTGAAAATTGAGTCAAGGGCTTTTTTGATGACAAATGTGTGCATTTGTCGTAGATTTCAAGACCTTATAGTTGACATACACTGGGTTCTATCAGCACTGAGTGCAAGTGTCATTAGAATTCAGTCAGTACATAGAAATGGATCTTTTTACAGTTGCATTTGACTAGCTTAAAAAAATTATGAACTCTCGGAACGCATCAATAGCATGTCACATCATCCTTCAAGGATCAAAATCAATGCTCTGTAATGACACTCTCAAGCCAAAATACAGAGGTTTCCCTTGCGAGCCATTTTACTTTTTTACCTCTCAGAGGGAAATCCAGGCTGCAGTCAACCATGGTCTATGAGATCTATAAACAAGATGAGCATTTAGAAATCGGTTACCCTGTTAAGAACTAGGTTATATTAATGCTCATGCTAATGTTTTATGTTTAGATTAGAGTGAGAAAAGAGATATTGAACAGTATTTGAACACATGGATTTATATGAATATCATTGACAAGAGCAGGCTTGTAGCAAGATCTTGCAACAAAACGATAAACCCACACATGCATATATTTCACCATCATTAGCTTTTTCTGAAATTTCATTTATTCTTATTTAAGACTCCAAAAGCACCCCCTCCCTCCCCCCTCCCCCTAAACTCAGTTTGGAGATGAGTTTGCTAAACAGCCTCAAGGCTTGCGTTATTGCACTGTGGTTGGGAGATACCAAGCTAAGACAATTGGAGAGAAATTATTATGCTCTTGGAATGTTTTGTTTAAGTATATTGTTGGCATATGGGAATGACAGTTATTTGTGGTTTGATTTCCTGCTGATAAGTTGGTTTTTGATAACGTATGTGTGTGTGTATGGTCTTTAAGATTTACAATGTTGATGAGATGTAACTGATGGCTGACTGTGAAAACTGTGACAAACACACAACCAAGAGAACAATCTATACTAACAATGGTTACATACAGTATATGTACAAGTAGTATTAGATTTTCAATGGGTATGTCCAGTGAAAACAAAATCGCTGTATGTGTACACATACATACAAACACGCGCGCACATATACACAAACACATATGCAGAGTGTACAATCTACACATACTGTATAAGTTTACAGACACATAGTCTTAAAAGTGCCCTCTTGGCGCTAAAAAAGTGATTTATTTTAAAGGAAGGTGACAAACATTTGTAAGATTGAAACTGTTTGTTGTTTATATGTTATTTATTTGTCAAAGTAACTACATTATTTTATGATTGAAAGGTCATTGTTGTAAGTTGGTGTTTATTTCATGTGATTTAAAATTTCAGATAAGCACTATACAGTATATTAACAAAATTAATGTTTTTTTTTTATTTCCCCCCCAGAATGCCCTCCTGATCAAGTGCACTCAAGGCCAAAACCCAGGTGCTTTTACATAATTTTGGGTTGAATTGTGTTTTGATTGATTCCCAGCTATATAATACAACGTAATGGAATCCAAATTAATATTATTTATATCAGGGCTTGATTTGTATAAAAAGATACATTCTGCAGGATTTCTAAAAGCCAACATTCGAAATCTGAATCTCACCGGGAATACCTCGAAAAAAAACTAGTTTTGCACACATACATTTCTACTGGAAACTCCCACAACATGAGCGAGCAAAGTTCCCCTCTCTGTGCGGTTTTACAGAGGACTGTAGAGCTTCAACAATTTCAGTCCTCCCACTAATAAAGTTTTAAAAAGTGAAAGACTTACGGCCCACAATTCTCTGGCCTCCTACCATCTTGTCCATGGAGATAATAAGCCTTTCAAAACCTACCATTGTCCTGTGATGCTCATGTCAAATTTAGTTGCATGTTTAGGGTGTGATGAAGCCTCTTTGCTCGTTTTTTCCCCTTCCTTTTTCCTACTAATGTATTGTGCCAGCGATTTCTCTTTCATATCTCTATTCCTCATGCCCCAGCTGAGTGTTCGTGCTTATGCTCCGGAAGCCTTGATAAAGTGAATTTAGTGTGTGGTTAGAAAACACAGAAAGCTTTTCTTGTTTTAATAAACTATTCAGAGACTTTTGGCTGTTTTAATTAGACCAGGCCCCCTCAAGACCCCGGATTAGGCACCTGAACAAGGAATAAAATGTTATTCACACTCTCCATGGCACCATTCCGTGTTTAATGCAAAAAGACTCAAATCCCAACCTCCTTTATCTTGAGATGTGTATTAGCTCAGCAGGTTAACCAAGACCTCAGAGAAGAACACACTGTGATCAATGCTAGAGTTTTACGTGCCTTTCAGTCAGTCATTTATGAATAATAAGCGAACCGAGCCCAGGGAAGAGAACAGATATATTTAAGTTATGGATCTGCACAAGTTTTTAAATATAGCTTCAGTAATAAGATCAGTAGGTTTGATGTAGAGTATTAATTCAGTTGATTCGCTTTCATGGCAGCTTTACTTCATATAGGGAATTGTTTTCTGGTTTGTAAACCGTCTATTTTGTGAAATGTGAAAACACTTTGAAACCTATTTGAAGAAAAATGTAATAACTTGTTTCACCTGACTAGCCTTTTCGGCAGATTTCACATGACCTTCCTTTTTTTAATTTTTTTTTTAGGGATGCATCCCTTCAGAAACTTTTCCAGTAGTTAATTTCCTAATTTAATCTGGCTAAAGTTAATGTAAGACAAGTTTACAGCAATGTCAAATAAAGTTAAATTTGAAGAAGCCTTACCATTGGGATGAGTTGAGAGGGTAAACTTAACCTTCAATGTCTACGTCCAAATATCTCCTCAAAAGTGTCTGTCGGCAATGTTTCAAGAGGTCAGGCTCCATATTCTGGTATGTTGCCCACTTTTTCCAATCCAATCAATTCCTGATTTATATTTTCTCATCGAATATGCCACATTGAAGTAAAATGGGTTGTAAATACAGTTTCATGTAATCATCGAAATTGAGTTGCCACAGTCTACAAAGACACTAACTTTTAAGTTTCAACAGCAAACATTACTCTATCTATTCCAATTCTGCAGGTCAAGTTCCCCAAACATCACATCCCCACACTTCCTGTAGGGCAGGACACGTCTAGAGGTATGACTTCATACTGTGAGAGTCAAGATAAGGTTCAGGCGCTACATGAAGCAGCACACTTATTTTTGAGAGGAAAAAATGTGACTTGAGGCACAGCCCAACCTGATTCATTTTTAATGTGCTTTAAACATCAAACTTCCCATGGCCTTGTAAACTCTGTCAAGTTACGAAAAGTTCTGTTATACACACTTTTAACGCGTGCACTGTATATGTGCTTTTGCGTGCCGTTTTTGAGGAAAGGGTCTACAAGGGGGTCTTTTGGAAATAGCGTTTGAAATGCTTTTCACCCTGAGCAAGGATTTAATTACCCCTATATGCCAAGGCCGAAGGATTGCTGC